GTAGGGGAGAGGTGCTGCAGTTGTAACAAAAAATTTTATTTTCTTCATTATTCTTGTTATTTTCATGATATTAAACTAAAAACCGGTGAGGAAGTTAGCTTATAGTATTTTTTATGTAACTGACTTAGTTAATGAATGAAAAATTAATATTAACTAATAAAAAAATCAATTTATTCAACTAAAGTCAAGGCCCAAGATGGCGGCGCGCATGGGTTGCAATTGTAACACAGTGCAGGGGCAATTGTAACACGAAACGAAAATGTAGTTTTTAATCAAATTATTTTTATTATTTGATTTTAATACACTCTATTAAACTTATTTAACTCACAATGTCAAGTATTCAAACTTATAGTATCACATAGACTTTGATCTTTAACATAAATTATTAAATATTTATAAATAATTGATTAAACAATTAATTCAACACATTTTTTCTCGGGTAACCAGTTTAAAACTAAAAAAATAATTTAATTTTTAATGTTACTTGTGATTCTTTCTTAAAGATCTACGTTTTGGTAAATTTTCTTTGGTCTCTAAAGCTTTTAATTGACAATTTTTATTTTCTTTGGCAGATTTACTATTTTTTAAAACTTTACGCTTCGTACAATTATTTTCAATATTAGAAGTTTTATTTTTGTTTGTCTAGCTCTCGTTTTACCCATTTTATAATGAATCTGTCAAATAAAAATATTAAAGTAAAAAAAAGTGAGGTTATAATGTCCAAAATAAACCAAAAAAACATATTTAAGCACTTTCTGAGAATTGTAATTGCATAATAATGATGTTATAATTTATTTACTTACTAAAAAGTGCACGATGAGTAATGTCAATTGCGGAAAATAAATTAAATTCACCTTTTTAATGCACTTGTAAAACACTTTGTTTACCATCAACATACTCAATACCAGTGTAGGTCTGTCGCGCATCGAGTATGCGCAGATTTCATGAGCGACTCTGAGTGTTACAATTGCTACTTGTTTAGGTGTTACAATTGACGCTCACGCTGAGCTATCAATAAAAATAAATTTACAATAACAAAAATGGGTATATTCATAAAAAATTTTATTGAATATCATTCTTAATATGTCTATTAAAGTATTAATTCAAGTCTCACATTATAATACCAGAAAATGAAATTGTTATTAAAAAAGTTGTGAACCGTCAAAAAAAAATTTTCACGCGTATTTTAAACAATTCCAAATATTTTGATATTGGAATAAGATTGACAGCTGAAACTTTTATCCAATTGTTAAATTATCATTCTGAATGAGTTAAAATAAGAATAAGAATAATTTTTAGTTTGTATAATAGTTATTCGTTGAGTGTTACAATTGCCCCCTGTTACAACTGCAGCACCTCTCCCCTACTTAGGCTGCATTTGAAAATGCTTTATCTCTAGATACATAATTAAGAAATGACCTTGAATTTTGTGAACTATTGACATTTTTTAAGATATAAGCTCATTCCGATGTTACACTTATCAAGATCTTTTATTTAAGTACCCACATCATTTTTTCATATATTAATATATATTATATATATGTATATATAAAAAATATATCAAAAATGCATGTGGGTACTCAAATGAAAGCTCTTGATGAGTATAACATCAGGATGAGCTTATATTATTAAAAATGTCAATGATTAAGAAATAACCTTGTATCTTGTGAATTATTGACATTTTTAAAGATATAAGCTCATCTCGACATTATACTCATCGAGACCTTTCATTTGAGTACCCACATCAATTTTTCATATATTTCATATATTTATATATATATTACTAGCTGTTACCCGCCCGCTCCGCTGGGCATTTATAGAATTGTATTTGTAGATTTAAACTTGAAATTTAATTGGAGTATTATATTGACTTACAGAGATTCCAAATTTTATCGAATTGGCATTTACCTTTTATCCATGTGACCATTCGAGAAATGGTGACAAAAATTAGGTTTTTATAATTTTTTATACTTAATTTGACACGAAATATATATATATATATATATATATGTATATATTATTATTAATGTAAAAAACAACGCAAAACCTTGCATACCTTTTAGAAGTTGACGTAAATTAATCACACTTACTTTTTTTTTTAGTTAAAGATTTTTTATTTCAATAATAATAATATCTCTAGAAACATTATTAAGAAATGATCTTGTATCTTGTGGAATATTGACATTTTTAAAGATATAAGCTCATTC